CTTCTTTGCCTGGTATTCTTACATCTATGCAAAATAGAAGAAAACACGGCCCCATCGTGTGCCAACTTCACAATTGTTATGTTTGATCAATTGTTGCTGCCACTGTGTCAATTCATCTCCTCGGGAATCTTCCTCTTTTTTGCTGACCCTCCACTTGAACAAACAGGATGTCCTTCTCCTGAGACTGATCCCTCCTCATAACATGGTCAAAGATTGAGACAAAGTCTAACTATTCTTGCTTGTAAAGAACATTCTGGCTGTGTTTCTTCCAACACAGATTTGTTTCTTCTTCTGGCAGTCTATGGTGCTTTCACTATTTTTTGCAAACACCGAACTGAAATACATAGATTCTTCGATGGTCTTCCTTCTTCATTGTCTAGGTCTCACATGCATATGTTGTTGTTGTTAAGTGCCGTTGAGTCAGTTACAACTCATAGTGACCCTGCACAGGTGTCTGAAGAGCAGTTTTGGGTTTGAACTGCTGACTCTGCAGTTCAAACTGTCATTGCAATCCAGTGCTTATTCTACAGCACCACACCAGGTTGGTGCAGGGCTAGGCCTGAGCCCATTCCCGGTCCTCAAACTCCTTGTTACATTGGAGCCCATTGTTGCTGTCTCTGTGTCAACCCATCTTGTTGGGGATCTTCCTCTTTTTCACTGACCGTCTACTTTACCAAGCTTATGTCCTTCCCCAGGGACTGGTTCCTGCTGATAACATGTGCGAAGTAACACTGACAATATTGTTGTACAATGGCTGTCCTTTATGAAGCAGTTACCACGTGCCCGAGACATGTGGTACTTGACATGCATTACCCCATTTGATCCTTAGAGGAATCCTATAACAGTCATCCTTATCCTTTTCATTTTACAAATGAGGAAAAAGAGGCACAGAGCGTTGAATCCACTCTCTCTCCCAGCCTTATACCTTACAAGAGGGAAAGTTGGGATCAGACCAGGGAGGTGAGATGTCAGAGGAAGAGCTTTGAAATGTTACCCCATACGTCTCCCATCTGCTCCCACTGTACCCCCAAACTTTCAGCCGGGGACCCTGCTAATGTGCCATCCTCACACTCTGAGGTAGGATTTCTCATTCTTCCTTTGCTCTGGTTGTCTTAAGCCCAAGAGAGCAAAGCAGCCTCTCTTCAGAACAGGTGTAAATATTGCATTTGACAACTTGGCTGGGATCATCACAGCCTGGGAGCTGAAATCATTCATTCGTTAGAGCAAATCTGTCATGAAAACTCATCAGTGTTGGCCTTCGTTTGTGCCAGTTATGGAGCATGTCAGCCCAAAACGAATAATGAGAGGGAGTCCAGGCAAGATTTCCAAGGCTATGATAATTCTCCCTCTGTGGAATGAGATGAAAAGCTGGCATATAATTAATATGAAGTAGCATGTCCTTATGAACCCAACAAGGAATCCCACACTGTGCACTGTTAGATGGGGTGGAGAGGTAGCTGGAGAGACACCAGCAAGAGGGCTGCAAGCTGAGGGGAGGGTGAAGTGGGTCCAACTAAGCAGGACAGGACCAGAGACCCATTAGGAGGAGTGGTGTTGGAAGGGTTAGGCACATAGCTTGCATACTCAGAACCTAGCTTCAAATCCCATCTCAGTTGCCCCATCTGTAAAACAGATATAATGACAGTAGGAAACCAAAAAGGCAGATAGGAATATTAAAGGTGTAAAAGGGGAAAAAAAATTGGTTGTCACTGAATTGATTTTGACTCATGGTCATCTGTGCCAGAGGAGCACTGTGCTCCATAGGATTTTTAATGGCTCATATCTAGGAAATACATCTCCAGATCTTTCTTCCAAGGTACCTCTGAGTGAATATGGATAATCAATCTTTTGTTCAGAATTGAGCACCTTAATCATTTGCACCACTACAAGATTAAGTACCCAATACACATTAGCACTCATTTACCTATATTGACTGAAGACATTAGGGCATGATGGGATGGTCTTGGATTTGAATCCCAATCCTACCTTGATCACATTGCTGGCACAGTTTATATTTAACACTAAGACTGGCAGTCTTTTATTAAATGGTTACTATGTGCCCAAGATGGTGTGGGCACTTGGCAAGCATTACCTCATTTGACCCTTATTGTTGTTATGTGTTACTGACTTGGTTCTAGCTCACAGTTACCCTGTATAGAGCTTCTGAGGAGCAGCTGGTGAATATACTTCAAACTGATCTTGCGGTCCATTGCATTACCTCACAGCACAACACCAGGACTCCTTGAATCATTATAGAAATCCTTTAGCACTATATTCTTCTGGAAATATCTCCAGACCTCCTCCTGCAAATTTCCTACCTCTTAATGAATATACATTAGTTTACTCATCTTTTCTTGGAGACCTGGTGGCACTATGGGTTAGGCACTGGGCAGCTAGTCACAAAGCCTGAGATGCAAACCGACTAGCTGCTCTGTGGGAGAAAGATGAGACTCTGCTCCTGTAAAGTCTCTAGCCTCAGAAACCCTATATAGGGTGGTGATGAGTCGTAATTGATTCAGTGGAAATTGCTTTGGTTTGGGGGTTATCTTTCCTTATTATGACACTGTTTGGAATTGGAGAGCAAGGGTTATTTCTTTGTTGTTGCTTTTTCTTTTGTTGTTTTTCCAAAGTCCAACACAGTATCAGAGACATTGGAAGCACCAGGTAAATGCTTCCTGAGCTGTTGTTTTGTGGATAGGGGAAGTCAGGATCAGACAGGAAGGTGAGCTTTTAAGGCAATGAAACTACTGTGTATGAGATACCCAGGGTAGACACATGACACTATGTATTTGTGAAAGCTACAGGAGTGTATAGTCCAGAGGAAACTATGGACTTTAGCTAATAACAAAGCATCCATCATGACTTATCAATAATAACAAGTGTATCACAGGGATGCAAGAGGTTAGCAATAGGAAAAATAATGTGCAGGGAAAAGAAGGGACAGACAAGCAGTCTATATACTTTACACACAGTATTTATAAAATCTTAAAATTGCTCTAAATAATGAAGTCTAGTTTTAAAAACCAAGTACAACCAGAGTGCTCCTTGGAAGTGAGGATGGTGAGACTTCATCTGATATATTTTGGGCACGTTGTCAGGTAGGACCAGTCCCTGGAGAAGGATATCAGGCTTGACAAGGTGGAGGGTCACCAAGAAAATGAAAGACCCTCAGTGATATGGAATGGCACAGTGGCTGCAACAATGGATTTGAGCATAGGCATGGGTTTGAAGAGGGTGCAGCTCAGGGCAATGCTTCAATGTTTCTTTTCAACTCTATGAGTCGAAACTGACTTGGTGACACCTAACAACAAGAACAACATTTCAAAAATATATTAACTTTGGAAAATCTGGTGCCAAAGGTGACACAGGAAAAATGTATTTTTTTATTTGCAGAAGATTGTGAGCTCCTAAGTTAAGACTTCTCTGTCTAGAATCTGCGGGGGCAGTCACCCAGAACTAAGACCCAGGACAGGGTTGGTGCACATGTGTCTGAATGAATAAATGATCAAATGAATGACTCTGAGGGTAGCCATTAAGAAACAGTTCAACTAATCAGGAAAAATACAAAACAACAGGGAAAATACAAAACAATAACGGCAGTCCAACTGAATGCTACATGAACAAGCAAGTTGCTCGCCCAGAAGACATCAAGGCAAGCAGTCTAGTCCCCTCAGGCCAAACCCCCTTTCAATACTAAGACTCAATGAGAATACACGAGCAGATATGTGCTTTGACTGGTGACCATGTTAATCACCTATAAGGGGAAGTGAGGGAAAACCCGCAATGAAGCTGCGAACTAAGCCCTACAACGTTCAATAGACTCCTGTGAACCTGGGTGGAGACCTGGTTGGCCAGCAGTTTAACAAGACCTGGGAACTTCTGGGCCCAGAGTTAGTGACATAGCCACAGAGGACTAGAGTGGAGAATGAAGCATCCAGCTGAGAAGAAGAGAGGGCATATGCACACGAACACCCACACTTGAAGATAATATCCACTCAACCTGCTTCAATGGCTGGATGGTCAGAACTCAACTAGAAGAAGAAAGAAGAGGAAAAAAGAGCAATCTGATACAATTTGATGAACTTGACCTACACCTATGGATGCAGTAGCTCAAAAGAGGGAACAAATCTTTACAGCAAGGATCATTCCCACCCCCTCCATATACAGAGTAGACAAGGATGGGCAACTTGGACATTGGCTACCCAAAATGGGGGGTCTACAAAAGCAAGAAGTGACTGGCTTACAAGCTTTCAAGAGGGAACCTAGATCCAGAGGGTGTGGAAGAAGGTAGAATCTCCACTGAGTGGTATCCAATCTGTCTGGGTGGGGCTGATGAAAGGAGATGGGGATAGGACTCTTGTGGTACAGTAGTGAATAATTGTTATCAGGGCTGACTCTGACAGTTGGTAATGTAAAGGTAGATGTTTTGTAGCAAAAGAAGTGGAGAGGTTGCCTTTGCAAGCCAGGAGAGGAGGCCCCTGGGACCATCAAGGGAGAAGAGCGGAGTGTGGGACCCTATCCAGAGAAACAGTGATTCCAGAGATGGAGGCAGAGATGATGATGTGGAGAGATGGAGCGGCTGAGAACTCTAGATGCAGAGAGGGAGAGGGGCTGTGTGCTGACGACAAGGGGGAAGGCTTGCGGGGTGTACCCTTTGGTTGATTGATGGTGCATGGAGGGGATTGTAACCATGGCAATGTAACGATATACGATAGGATGAAAATAAAGCTAATATTCTCCCACGTAAACTATCACATAATTCATAATAAAACAGTTAAAAAAAAAAAGAGAGAGAGAGAGAGAGAAGAAACAGTTCAACTAAAAGGCAAAAATGCATGTGCTTTCAAGATTTCACCAGACAATGTGCACTCTACAAAAATACTGAAAAACATTTGAGTTTAGAAGAGTTCATGTGTTCTTTTTTTATAGGATGAAAGAGTGCTTCTAATTTGCATTTTGCACTAGAATGCTTCACCCGCCCCTGGGGTAGACTTACTCACCACAGATTGACTAAGAAAGGATGGTCCAAGCCTTGCATGATCTGGAGCTCCCGGAAGACATTGCGGACCTCGTCCCTTTCGATGCACTTCTGCTTATTCATATACTTCATGGCATACATTTTCTTCGTGTCTCGTTTCTGTACGATGCAGACCTGAGTGACAGCCAGAAAGGTGAGAACACTCAGGACACTGTTACACACAAACAGACAGCCCCCTCCATGTGCTCTGACTGCTGGGTTCAAGACCCTGCTGTGGCGAATTCACAACCTTCTCACATCTCTAGCATGAAGAACCAGATCTTCACTTTGATCAAAAACACAGGGGCTTCATAAAGTTTATAAGAAAATGGAATGAAACATAATGTAATTTCTCCAGAAACTTTTTCAAGCAACCAACTCTATGGCACCTAACAACCACAACTACCTATTTATATTCGGTCTTGACCATGTGGAGTTTCTGACTGGGGCAGAGAGTTAAGGGCTCAACTACTAGTCAAAAGATTGGTGATTTGAACCCACCAAGAGGCACCATGGAAATAGACCTAGCCATGGAAACCCTCTGGATACATTCTACTCTACATACATGGGGTCACATATGTTGAAATCAACTCAAGGACATCTAATGGAAAAAACAACAATGGCTACATGCTAAATGATGGGAGAGAACTACCAATAGAGGAAACAGAAGAAACAGCCCTGCCCTCAACGAGCTCCTAGCCCAGGAGGGAGACAGACAAAGGCATCCATGAGTGTGTATGAGTCTTACAGACCCTCACCTTCCATTCTTCAGTGTTGTTGTTGTTGTTGTGTTAGGTTCCTTCAAGTCGGTACCGACTCATTGCGACTCTATGCACAGCAGAACGAAACACTGCCCGATCCTGGGCCAACGGCACTACTGTTGCCACACTTGAGTCCATTGATGCTACCATTTTACCAATTCATCTCACTGGGGTCTTCTTCTTTTTCTCTAACCCTCCACCTTACCAAACATGATATTCTTCTCCAGCAACTGGTCCCTCTTGACAATATGTCCAAAGTATGATGGATGAAGTCTGGCCATCTTGGCCTCAAAGGAGCACTCTGGCTGCACTTCTTCCAACACAGATCTGTTGGTTCTTTTGGCAGCCCATGGCATTTTCAATATTCTCGTACAACACCCTAACTCAAAAGCATCAATTCTTCTATGGTCTTCCTTATTCACTGTCCAGCTTTCGCATGCACATGAGGTTATTGAAAATACCAATGGCTCGGGTCAAGCGCACCTTGTCCTCAAGCTAACATCTTTGCTCATCAACACTTTAAAAAGGTCTTGTGCAGCAGATTTGCCTAATGTAGTACATCACTTGATTTCTTGACTGCTGCTTCAGTGAGTGTTGATAGTTAATCCAAGAAGAATGAAATCCTTGACAACTTCAATCTTTTCTCCATTGATAAGAATGTTGTTTATTGGTCCAGTGGTGAGGATTTTTGTTTTCTTGACATTGAGATGCAATCCATACTGAAGGCTGTGCTCTTTGATCTTCATCAGTAAATGTTTTAAGTTCTCTTCACTTTCAGCAAGCAAGGTTGTACCATCTGCATATCGCAGGTTGTTAATGAGTCTTCCTCCAATCCTGATGCCACGTTTTTCTTCATAGAATTCAGCTTCTCGGATTGAATAGTATGATGAAAGAATACAACCTTGTCACACACCTTTTTTAATTTGAAACCATTCAGTGTTCCCGTGTTTTGTTCTAACAACTGCATCTTGGTCCAGGTACAGATCCTAATGAGCACAATTTTATCATCTGACAGCCCTGTATTTCTTTACCTGAGATCTGGTTCTTGTCAGTGAAGCTCATTTTGTTGCCCAAGCATTTTTGTTGCTAGGAACAGCAACACCAAGAAACTGATGCCCAGCGAGCAGCTCTCAGCTCGCTTGCTTCAAGGTGGGTGTTTTACACTGGCTCTGGCATAGTCTGCCCATTGGTGTGATCAGCTGCCTTCCTTCTCTGCCAACTCCTCTCTCCACCCTCCTGCCCAGGTTCCTGAGCTCAAATCCTTGTCTTGGAGCCTGCTACTGCGGCACCTGGCACCAGGGAGCAATGAGGAAGTTATATAGCAGGAACAACAGTGATTTGTCATAGGCCAGGTGTGCTGAGTCTTTTGTTGTAGGTCAGGTGTACTGAGCATTTTATTGTAGACCAGGTACACTGGGCACTATGTTTGTAGACCAGGTGTACTGAGTGTTTTGTTGTAGACTGGGTGTACTGAGCACTGTATTATAGACCAAGTACACTGAACATTCAGCTGACACCAGGTGTCCTGAGTGCTTTCTTATAGACCAGGTATGTTGTTGTTGTTGTTAAGTGCTGTCGTGTCAGCTCCAACTCACATAAACCCTCTATAGGATTTCTGAGGAGCAACTGGTGAGCTTGAACCTTGAGGTCCAAACCAATCTTGCAGTCCAGTGCATTAACCTGCAGTGCCACACCTGCAACACCACCATGGCGCTTTGGTTTAGGCCAGGTGCTGAGTTCATCTCTGCCGTATGTCATCCAGCCCCCTCAGCAATCTCAGCTAATATGTCTATCCATCCATCTGCTGGTGGGAGGTTTGACTTTTTGATACCAGACAGAGAGGGAATAGGTACAGCATGTGGGATGCAGCTCAGAAGTTGGATTTGCAAGTTAAAGGTGAGCACTCAGGAGATGTGGGTCTTGGTCATCTCACGAGATGCATGATATGTAAACGGGGCTCACTGCCTCATCTGGGCCTCAGCTCAGTTTGCTGTGACTGAGGGATTGGAGTGCTGTTCTCCATGGCATCTTAGAATCACAGGTGAGGAGACTGGACCTACCTGGATCAGCAGAGATGGTCTTGGATCCTGGCCCTCTCTCGGATCATTCCCAGACACTCAGGTCTTGCTTCCTCATCGGAGGTAAGCTAAACAGGGCGGCAGCAATGCAGCAATAGCAATCAGACTTGGAGGTGTTGCTGTTGTCAAGTGCTGTTGTGACCCCGTGTAGGGTTTCTGAGGAGCAGCTGCAGGGTTTGGACCACCAACCTTGTGGTTAGCAGTCTAGTGCTGATCCTACAGTGCCAAACCAGTACTGCAGGAAATAGAGAGCTCCAAACAAGAACGAGCGCTAAGACAAGTCCAATGAATGGAGTCAAGATGAGGGAAACCACACAGACGTAGAATCTTTGGGGTCATTCTGACCAGGGTTTAAATCTCAGCTCTACCTCTGTGACGATAGGCAAATGACTCAGTCTACCCATCAGTAAAATGGGAGTGAGGCTGTTGTAGGTACCAAAAGCAAGAGAGGTTTTCATTCTCCTGCAGTTATACTCCTGGTCCAGCAGATCCTCCGCCAACAACACAGAATTTTCTTTTATTCACGTTGCTATCATCATCCTGCTAAGAGCCCATGTAAAGGAAGGTGGAAAGGGTGCTGTGGGGAAGTTTTCTTGCCAGAACAGAAAATCAAATATATTTCTGCTCCAATGGCCAGGGCTAAGCAGGTCTGGGCAACTTCGGGTACTTGATGTGAGTTCTTTGCATCAATGCATGCTGCACTCTACCCCTGAGGATTTGGGGGCACAGCCAGAAAGGATGACTGAGGCACATGGGCCAGGAAAAACAAAATCCAAGAGGAAAAGCCACATAGTTCAACTTTCTCATAGACTGTGTAAGTGGGTAGGGTGGTGCCCCACCCCAAATATGTCCAAGTCTTAACCCCAGAGCCTGTAAATGTGGCCTTATTTGGAAATAGAGTCTTTGTGTTATTGTTTTTAAGTGTAGTCAAGTCAGTTCTGACTCATAGTGACTCTGCCTAGGGCTTCCAAGGAGCAGCTGAGGGTTTGAATCGCCAACCTTGCAGTCCAGTGCTTATCCTACAGTGCCACACCAGGACTCCTTTGTACAGTCCCTGTGCTGGTGGTGGTGGTTATGTGCCATGG